TTAATTCCCGGAAACATGATAATCTTGAATATTATTGCGCAGACCCCTCGCATAAATATGTGTGTACAACTTATGCATGGAACAGTCGGTATCAACAATGTGCCCTCTAGCAGTTGTATTATATCTCGTTACATTTGCAGCAGCACAGGTGGGTTATAGAAAATTGATGTGAATTAAGTGCTTATATTTCGTTAAAACTGCTATAACCTCTTTCTACGAATTATCTCCGGGTGGCGGACTTTATGAACGATAGCTATTGTCAGCTGGGAGTTTGGGACGCACTTGGTGCATGGCTCAGCACACAAAAATAATCATATTCACTTTCCTTACCCTACTAGTGCTTTATTCAAGTTTGTAGAGCCTTCGAAAAACTTGTAAAGATCAAAACAACGGCTGTCAATTAGAGCTATCGTTCATAAAGTCATACACCCATTATCTCCTGTTATAACTTTTTAAACATATTTCAGATTGGTGATAATTGGTCTGGGCAAATTAGTGAGTAGTTTTCGTTTAGTTTTCTTGTAATTCCAAGATTACAATTGAGTTTTAGGTGGGTGTCGTCAGTGCAGTCCTGCCATCGCCGGTGAAGGTGTAGAAACTACAGAGTAATTTGTTACAATTTTTATTTTAAACTATACGAGTAATTTTTTAAAGCTTTTATTCAAAGCTATTCAGGAATTGCAATTTTAGTGTGATTTTGATGTCTGGTGATGACGGATGTCATAGAGTTGTTCTCAGATGCAGAAATTTCACAAATGCAACGATTGTAGCCAATCTGATTGATGGAGGCCAAGCGGTATGTGCATACTCCTCTTCAGTCAAATCAACAGGCTATCCAAATTTTGACATTAATCCGATTATTTCCTATTTTTTGCCATACTACATTAATTTTTGTCTGATAACATACTGGTTAGTATTCCATGTCCAATTTCTCATAGCTCGATCTATAAGAATATTTTAAAGTTCTAAATTTTTGAGACTATAGTCTTGCCGAACATTTGGATCCATATTGTTACGATCCAAACCTCACTTTCTTCAGAATCTCGCGCAAGGAACAGCAGTGGAAAAGATGCTGAAATGCCATGATGGAAGGTTTGCATGTCCTA